TGTCGAAAGAAATCAATGGATTCATGACCAAAATCCATAAACCTAAAAACAGCAAGCAACATTTGATGACCGATAGTGTCAAATGCCTTGGAATAATCAAACGTCACCAGGACCGTAACAAGGCCAGAATCAGAGGAGCGTACAATGTCATCCATAAGGTTTAAAAGAGAAGTAGCGCACGAAAAACCCGGACGAAAACCCGATTGGGAGTCAGGCAGAAGATTATAGTGAGTTAGGTGTGTTCGCAACTGACAATCCATAATTTTTTCAACAACCTTGGAAAGGGCGGGTAGAAGACAAATGAGCCTTAAATCGCTATAATCGGAAGGATTTGGTTTTTTGTTTTTTTTGGCAATAGAACGTTTCCAAATAGTAGGGTATACATTTTCTGTTAAACAAAAATTTACGATATGTAAAATATATCTAGATATAAAAGGCAAAAATGTGACATCTTGACACATTTTAGTGCAATGCCATCGACTCCAACGGCATTGGAAGAGATACTAATAATCGTGGAGTATAGATCGTCCTCCATTATAGCCCAGAAAGAGAATTCAGTTTGAAAAGCAGTAACCTTGTTGTTATTGTAGTATTGATACACATCATAGACGATATTAGTTTGAGGAAGAGCGCCATATCCAGCCTAGTATGCTTGAATCTCTTATACGACTCGTAGCGAAGTTTAATCATTTCTCTAATAGTGGGCATTAACCAAGGAGGCCGAGGGCTGGATACTTTTACCACCCTACCAGGAATGTGTACATAAAATACAGAGAGTAGCAGCTCATTAAAAATTCTCAATGTATGGTTAACATCCTAAGTATAAATAATATCCATCCACGGTAGCATTCCTAGGTCTCTCTCAAGAGCAACTCGATCTGCAGAGCTATAATCCCAGACAGTTTTGAAGAGTAGAGGGGGCCGCTTGAAGTGTTCATGCAAAATGTTGCAGAAAGTGAAAAAGTGATCCGAGAACTTAAAAAATTCGCGAACATCACACTCCCGCACCACAATACCTTCCGTCACCAAAATAAGATCAATGAGCGTAGAACTAGAGGCAGTTACCCTAGCAGGTGAGTTCACAATCTGAAGCAAACCGTACGCACATATGAGGTCCTCTAAAAGCCTGGAAGACGGCGTGTCTCCATCCAAAACATTAATATTGAAATCACCTACAATCATCACATATTGGTAAAAACTGAGATTTACACGAATCCAAAACCTCAACAAACATGTTCACGTTTGATTGGGGGGTCTATTGTCTATATAAAACACCAATAATCAACCATATGGTGCGATTTGAATGCTGTACTTCGAAAAAACAAGACATAGTCTTAAATAAAGAGGAGGACGAATAAGAACTCCAAAAAAAACAAAGAAATATCTAGAACTGAAAGTTCAACAGGAAGACCTCGCCAACCTTGGCTGCGATTTTCCCATTAAGGAAGGAGGAGTTACATAATTTAAGACACCCGTTTCCAGGGAAATTCCTGGAAACTGTTACGTAACCTAACAGCATATCTTGTGGTGATATGGAGACAATATTTTAATGTTTGCTCTTTTTGAAATATTTTCAAATTTATCTTTCTGTACTTACAAACATGGGAAGACGAAAGAACACTCGTAATTTGTCTGAAACGATGCAGAACTGTGACCGTAGATGATACAGACGTAGCTAGCAGCGCAGTTTTTGATCACCCAGTCTGCTGTATCTAGAGTTCTTAAGGAGTGGCGAAATCAGGCTGGCTTTGTGACGAAGTAACGGCCACGAAAACCATGAGTTACCACTTGCTTCGAGGACAGGAACGCCGTATGGCTTAGCAAAAGCAATCCCAGGCTCGGTAAAGCGAACGTGAATCTGTGGCGATGACCAAGAGAAAGCTTAAAGCTGTAAGACTCGTTGGGTGACGATCAGTGAAGACATCGTTCGTGTTGACTAAGAATAGGATTCAACTGGACCCGACAGCAGTGGAAGCAGGTCATATGGAGCGACGAAAGTAAGTTCCTGATGTTTGGAACTGATGACAAATCGCGGATACACCGCCCGTCTGACTTCCACTTCGATTCTATATACCAATTGCCCACGATGAAGCACGGTGGTGGAAGCGGTATGGTCAGTGATGGGCGGGTATTTACCCCAGCCCAGGGTAAATGCCCAAACAGTGGGTATAAAAGTGATACCAGTAAAAATATATCAGATTCCAAAAAAAAATGAAGAGGAAGATGAAGAGGAATTGTTAACAATCAAAGACGTATTTTCATTAGACGAATCTATCGTAATTTAGATTAGATCAAGTTATTATGATTATTATCATCAAGCAGCCGTCTGCGTCCACTGTTAGACATACACCTCCCCTATTCTGTTTCATTCGATTCTATTCTGTGCTGCCTGAATCCAATTGTTGGTCATTCTTTTGACGTCTAACAACTGTTTAGTCCACTGCTCATTCTTAATTCGCGCGACATGACCCGGTCAGTTCTACTTAAGCTTTGCCACAAGGTTGACCACATCACTTACGCCAGTTCTTCTTCATAGGTCTTCATTTCGTATGTAGTCCCTCAGAGTTAGACCCAGGATCGATCTCTCCATCTATCTTTGCGTTACTTGGACCCTCCTGGCAGTGGCTACCGTTAATGTTAAAGTTTGGGAGCCTTTCTTGACTTTTTCTCTTGAAGATGTCTCTAAGTTTGCCGTAGGCTGTCCATACGAGTGCGATCTTTTTGTTTAGTTCGCTTGTTTGATTATCTTTCGGTACACGAACCTCATAGCCAAGATATACATAGTTCCTAGATCGCTTTGATCTTCTAAACAACAGACAGCATGGTTATCGTAGTGGTGGGTCCACTATTACGGCAATAATGGATGTTATAGATTTTGTACAAAACGCCCTGAATGAACAACAGTCTTTATTTAAGTAAAGCGTTTGATACGGTGAGTCATGATATAACATTGAGAAAATTATACTTTTATAATATAAGAGGCCAAGAACTAAATCTTCTTAGATCATATCTTGTGGGTAGGCAGCAATATGTTTTTTGGGAAAATAATACGTCTGGAACATTTAAACTAATAAGTGGAGTACCACAGGGATCAATACTGGGTTCTTTGTTATTCGTAATATACGAGGATATGTGTATTTACGCAGATGATACTTCCGTATTAATAAAAGATTATGATCAGCAATTACTACCTTTAAAGTCCTCCGCTGCTTTAACTCAGAACTCAGTCAAAAGAGTGGTTCACGAACAACTGCCTGAAACTAAATGAAGATGAAACAGAATCAATTGTCATTGATATGAAATTACGCTCAAACTTACCCGCGGTGAAGTTCTTGAGTTTATCTCTTGATCCCAAGTTAACATGGAATTCACATATTGATATCTTAAGTAAAAAATTAACGTCAGCAATTTTTACAATTACACGTCTCAGCAAAATTGCAACTCATGAAGTGGCCAAAATAGCCTATTTTGCAAAATTTCATGCTGTTGCAACATATGGCATAGTTGTTTGGGATCATTCACCTGGCTTAAGAAGAATTTTTGGTTTGCAGAAGAAGACGGTGAGAGCTTTATGCAATCTTAAAACAGAATGTATACTTACCGTACCAAGTGCATACATTTTGGCCACCTTGATGTATGTTTATGACAATAGAAGTAAACTTTCGCACACGACACAAAAGGCAAAGATGAACTGAGATTACCGTTACATAGGAAGCAACTAAAAGATATGCTGATTTCTGGGGAGTTAAATTTTTCAACAAGTTGCCAGAAGAAAACAAAACTATGGAACGAGGACACTTCAAAAAATGTGTGAAGTCAAATCTGGCCAAGAAAGCCTACTATGTATGGTCTGATTATATGCAGGATCAATTTGTGGAGTAACAAAGTTAATTTGTGTCATTACTATACTTATTGTACCTATATACATATTTATTTTTGTACTTACTATTGACTAAATAATACTGTATTACTTACGTGAATCATTATTATTATTATTATACATAGCTGGGAACAAGATTTATCATAAATTTTGATTTCTCCTCGTTGATATTTAGCCCGACTCTTGCACACACCTCCTTTATGTCGTTCAGCATTAGTTTAATCTCTCCAATCGTAATCGTCCGCGTAGCGCAAATTACTTAAGAATTTGCAATCAATGTTTATATCTTTTTGGGTCCAATCCAGTTGTTTAAGTGCACTCTGAGGACTGTGATGAACAATTTGGTTTCAACAGTGTATCGCCTTGTTTTACTCACAATCCGTACTTTACTACTTCTTCTCTCTTCAGTAATTTCATGCAATTTTACCTTCATTGTAGCATTCTTGTAGATGTTATAAATAAGTTTGGTATATCGATAATCGCCTCTGCATTCTTGAAGTGCTTGCAAAACTGCCATCAACTCAATTTAAATTAAATTTTATAAATATCTCTAAATACCCATCTTGGGTAAATAGCCCCGGGTATATATCTAGGAAATTTACACTTGAAAATAAATACCGGGGTGTTTAACAACACTGGTTATGGTGTGGGGATGGACCGCTACGTGTACATGGCATTCCAGAGTTAACTTGGGTGTTCCAACAAGACAACAACCTGAAACATCGTTTCAGGAACTCCACCAACTGGTCCGCGCAGCATGGAGTGACTGTAATGGAGTAGCCAGTCTGCACACCTCAACATCTACGAACAGCTCCTGGACGGAAGCTGAAGGGCGCTACATCCACCGATGAAAATATCATCATGATCAACCAGGTGACTATACTCTTTGATCGATTTCATGCTCCGTAGATGTGCATAACCCATTTCTTAAAGGTTAACATTTTAGTACGCATGTACACAACGCTCTTCTGCGCAGACAAACATGCGCAGAAGAAAGTTATGTATCGTCTAGTTTATCTTGAATGTTTTTCAAGCCATATTTATACAATTAATTACTTAATTTAAATTTCATTCTTAACATAAAGAGTAAAACTTGGATTGGTGGCTAATAAAAATAATATTGAAAATAAATTATTTATTAACGTTTTTTATTTGAATATACAGAGTAATCTAATGGTAAGTAAGTTATACAATAGGTGCTAGAATAGACATAGAAGTACAGAAGGACGTTTATAACTTTATAAGAGTATTTAATTTCTAAATATATTTTTTTTATAGTTTTTATTTTTATAAATATAATATTTAAGAAAAAGCATTGCAAAAATCAGATCACCAAAAGAGATTTTAATTTTTAATAAACCAACCAACGAACAAAAAACAAAAACTAAATTTATAAACTAATTTTAAACATGAAAGTTATTTCGTTATATTTCTAGAAACATTTTTTCATCAAATATAAAATTTAATTTGTTATCATTTAGTTATTAACCCCTAATAAATCTAAATTTAATAATTATTTTCTCCTTTATAATTCCACTGATAACCTTTTTTTTGAAACTATGCTATTTTTTATTTTTTTAACGTGTATATATTTATTTTAATCATTTCTAATACAGTAGCAGTTTTATTTTTATTTTTTTTTAATCTACCTACTAAGAGCACTTATCAATGGACAGAAAATTGTTACGTCTTTTTCGAATAAAAGAAAACAAGAAAAAAGAAACAAACTAAACACTTCACAGCACATCAATAAAAAGAAAAAAAAAACTAAGATAATAAGATAAACTTAAATTGTCATTATTATTATTTTGATTCAGATCAACTGCATTCATCTTTTCGTTCAATTTCGATGTTAAATTAATTCAAAAACTTGTGCACACTCAGAACCGTTTATAAACTTGTACAATAAAGATCTTTATCATAAAGTTTTACCGTTATTCATTAGAAATATCACAAATAAAAAAAGAAACCCATTTAAAAAACGATCCTTATATCAAAAAGTAATTTTTTTTATTTTCTCCCTTTTAAAACAGAAAGAAAAATCTAAAACTCGCATTACAACGTGTGATAATTTCTTTCGGCCCTTGCCTTATAAAATTTCAAAACCACCAAACCAATAGCCATCAAACCAACTGCCAAAATAATCCCACCAAAGAAACTAGCACCATCAAAGTGCCGTTCTTTCGGTGGTTGAACGGTCGTGTGAGGGGATTCCGTTGTTGTTTTTCCAGTTGTTGATGGTGGCGGTGGTGGTGGTGTTGGCGATATAGTCGTTGATGGTGTAGTTGTGGTAGATGTTGTAGTTGTTGCAGGTGTTGTAGTTGTTGTAGGTGTTGTAGTTGTAGGTAATTCTGTTGTGGTTGTGTCGTTACCTTCCGCTGCAAGAATAGATCGTTTATATTAATGTTCTTTTAATTATTAATGGTTAAAAAAACTAAAATATAAACATCCAAATAATTGGTAATCCAACACCAACACGCAACAATTAGCATGATGACAAGCATTTTTTGAGAAGAATTTTCAAATATACTTTGAGCTTAGGGATAGGCAGAAAAAAAATTGACGTAGATGGTTGGAGAAGAACAGAGGAAATAAAATTCTGGGAAAATAGGAAGAAATAGTTACTGGAGTAAGATGTTAAAGAGTGTGGAGAAGTCATAACATTGAGGGTGCTAGAAAAACACCAGAAAGAAAATAAATTGCTTAGACATAAACTTTATACTTTGAAGTAGCTGTAGTTTCCAGTCTTGAAATAACTTGTAGTTGCAAGAAAAAAAAACAAATCGGAAATACCATAAAGTTCGAAAAAGGATTTTACAGCAAAGAGGAAGGATGAGTCAAAATTAGGAAGCACGACGGAGTAAAGAAGTCAGTAATATTAAAGAAGCTGTGTGAGCTTGTGGTTGTGTAACAAAAAACCCTAAAAATATTCCGAAGATTAGAAGATATTAGAAAGACAGAAAGGTCCAAAATGGGAATGTATAGTAAAGAGAAAAATACAAGCAAGCTAAAGACAGCACAGAATTTAGTAACACAGATGCAGCAAGAAAGGACAGAAATAAACCCAAGAGCTGCCAGAAACAAATTAAAAATGTGGTAACAGAACACAAACTAGAAGGATCTTAGGCAACTTTTAAGGAGGAGATGAGGAAAAGAGAATTGAGTATAAAAGATATCGTTGGAGCACCATGAGACTTTGAGGTGACTTTGACAAAGAGAAATCGTCAACTTCAACTATACAGTGTTCCTAAAAGTGGTCTTTATACGATTTAAACAAGAAAAAATGATAGAGATGAATTTACGAGGTGTGACAGAAGATGCAGAGGATTTCAAAAAATTACAGAAGTAATTCAGAACCGATTAGTTTGATTGGGGCATACACAGTTCGGAAGGAGCAAGGAAAATTAAAGGAATAATTCCAAAGAGATACAAATGGAATTACCAATAAGCCGAATAATAGGGTACAAAAGAAATTTTGAATGGAAGCCCACGAAGATGATGAAAACTGGAAATGATATAAACGAGAAGAAGAATGAAAAAAAGAGTGGAATGGTGACTGGAAATAGTGGCAGATATTACACGGAAATATGGAAGAAAAAAATTAAGTTGGCCAAAAGACGTGTGAGATAGCAAAAAGGTTTAAAATTGGAGCTAGATACCAAAGAAAACAAAATAAACGGAGTAGGCAAAAATACTAATTGAGGTAATGAGAGAGAGCAATGTTCAAAAAAGAGTGAAAGGTCAAAGGTACACAAAGTTATAAAGCAACAAAGTGGCAAAATCGTGGATACGAAAAAGCAAAAAGGGAACAAAAAGCCAGATGACGTGGTGAAGAAAAGGTAAAACTTCGGAACTCTAAAACAGAGAAGCCAGGATGTTTAATAAGGATATGTAAGTACATAGAGATCAAGGAGAGAGTGATGAAAGAGAGAGAACAAAAAGAGAAAAAAGTGGAAATCAATGGAACATTGCAAAAAATCTTCATGGAATTGGAAATCGGCAAAAAAGAGATAAGAGGAATAATGTTGCGGATGTACAAGTTATGGAGTAGGAAAAATGATGAAGATGACTCCATTGAAGCTGTTTGGTTCAAGATGACTCTGAAAGTTAACGATCACGTTAGCTCCGTTAGATCCTCTTAGCTGCGATACCCTACTTACACATAAGACCTGACGGTTATCTTTGGGCTATGAAAAAATTATTGATGAAACCACTGTGAGTGATAAAAATTGAAGTTTTGTTTGTTAACGGAACCGTTAATGTGGAAGTGAGCTTCGTCTTAGCTCAACACAATCATTCCGGGATTTTTATTCATCATCCCTAACACTGTTCCGGCAAAAACTAATCTTTCGAAATTTTGATAGCAACACAGCAATTTTGTGCAGGTGAAAATTCAAGACCTCCAACAGTAAATCGGACATCCCTAAAACCTAAACATAACGAAGAGCTGATGGCTGGAGACTCCATTCAAAAAGAACTCTTATGGTCTCGATTAGCATTTGAAACCTCTTGTCGAAACCACACGTTTAAAATCCGTGAACATTCACTGCTGGACCCCGTACATGCGCAAGAATTGTAAAAAAAAAAGCTGAGAAGGGAAATGAAGGAAAGATTATGTAGTTTTGAGAAATATATAAGCAAGTTATAGACAAGAAGTAGGAAACTTGAAGAAGAACCAAAAAGAAGATGGGGGAAGTAGTGATATCTCCAGAAGATATTCTTTGTTGATGTATGCAGATAATTTGATAATGATGAAGGCTAACAACTTGATGAAACAGAGTTGACAGAATAATGAGATCTATAAAAAATATAAATAAACTTTCACAAGGACGGAATACGAAGCTGATGGGTTAGGGCTTATATCAATGGAACAGTTAGAAGATAACTGTTCCAGATATGAAACTGGGTTGGGTTGGCTTCAGAAGACGTATCGAAAGCAGCAATTGAAGTTGGAGAAATTGAGAGCGAAAGCAAGGAGAAGAACGATAAAATATGAGGAAAGTTTGGAACAGAGAGGTAACTACAAGATTTTTGAGAAATATTGAAAATAAATTAAATACAAAGGAGGAGAGCAGGAATAACACTGGAGCATACTGAATGGTAGATATAGAGAAATAAGAAGATAAGATCGGTATACACAGCTGGCCGAGTACTTCAATGTAGACCATCATCATCAACAAAGTTGCAGTTTTTGTCAGACCGTCTTCCAAAAAGGTCGCAACACATTGGGAGACTGTAATAAGAGACACATCGGCCAATTTCATTGTGTTTAATATGAATAAAGACGATTTTTACTCTTTTTCGCTAATTAATTGAATACAAAAGTAGACCAAACATTGATATACAGTTTTATAGTTGGATGATGACAAAATCGCAAGTTTGGCAACATCAATAAACATTAAAACTACCAAGTTTCTTGCTTACCTTAATGGATTACATACGCCGATTCATCAAAGCTTTTATAAAAGTATAACAACATTATGCATGGTGCAGAAGTATCAATAAAAAGAGAAAACATTTAGCTAAAACTTATGATATATAATTTATGAATTAGACAGTTTCAGATGATCAAGTTTCCTAGCGTCTTGTTTAAACCTGAGCAGTGGTGTAACTATTACAGATTGTCACAAAAGTCCGAGAGCCTAACTTTGCGATGTTGTAACTTTGTTCTTTTCTTAGAGATTTGCTTAGCAAACTTCAGAAGATAATCAATATTATTTATTGATTCTAGGAGGAAGAGAAATTTATTGTTCAAGAAATTAAGCAACAATTTGAGAATTTTAAATAAGTAATCATGCCATATATATCCGACCTCGGCCTAAGTTTGAACGGAAAGTGTATCTTTTTTGGCTAATTCCATATCGGTGCAAGATTAAAACACAAATCACAACAAATCGGCCGTGTTCTTTTGACTATTTAACCCAAGGTCGCTGCGATCGAGGCACTACTACTGATACCATATCAATATTGGAAAACACATTGAAAATCGCTACCACGTGCTGCGTTGACTGAAACGAATGAAGTACAATCATAATTTATCAATCCAAGTTAAGCTGAGATCACATAAATCCGAGGCGCAACCAACGCCAGTACTCTATAACTCATGCCTGCACATGCTGTCTTAGTAAGGTGTTTCATAATAAGGAAGAACCTATCTTAATGATGAAACCAATATGTGTCAACAATGAATAGCAGTAAAGAATGATACGTTTTACTTGACAGATATTTTCAAGAGATTTAACAATATCAATTTGCAGCTTCAAGGAGCTAATAAAACTATTATAGATTACCAAAGTACTTATTGTGCCATTATTTACTATTAATACCACATCAATATTAGAAAACACATTGAAAGTCGCTACCACGAACTGCGTTGAGTGAAAGGAATGGAGTACAATCATACTTTATCAATTCAAGTTAAGCTGAAATCACATACGTCTGAGACGCAACCAACGCTAGTACTCTATAACCCATGCCTGCGCAAGCTGTCTTAGTAAGTTGTTTCATAATAAGGAAGAATCTAGTTAATTGCAGTGGCTCAGATTTTACAAAGTTTTAGAACCAAATTATTATTATAAGCCGAGGTAGCGTTGCTGCCGAGGCAGTGGCTCAAGCATTATAAAGCAAGAAATTTAATTATTTAATAATTTCTTCTGAGAACCAATATGTCATTATTAGCCGAGATAGTGGCTCATGTATTACACAACATGTATAGGTTTCCTTTTAGAACCAAGGTATTACTAAAAGCAGAGGCAGCCTAGCTAGTATTACACGAAAGACTTTCGCTATGAGATCTTCGTCTACAAAGTATGCTAGGCAATAGAGTGGTTTATAGATATATTTCTGGGTGAAGGAGAACTAAGCGGATCAAGAACGCGAATACATATATAAATAAGCACCCCTTCCGATACTTTAGGACAGTTACGTCGAAATTAAAGTTAGTACGTAGTTAGATTGCTAAGAGCAAGCACGTGCTTAAAGAAATACGTACGTGGCTATTTGTCAGAGTATCTGAAGATGGGTTTCATAGAATCTGTTGCAAATAAAGAACATCCAATGTGCGATAAAACATTATCCAATGAGGCAATGAAGCAAAGTCGTTTGCGAGAACATCTTTCTACAAAGCATCCAAATGACAAGGACAAATCCGTTGAATATTTTCAGGAAATATATAAAAATTCAAAATCATTCAACTATCGTTGCATCATTTAAGAAGCAAGACGCAATAAACGAAGATGGATTAATTGCCACTTAATAATTAATTGCAAAAAGTGGTAAACGCTATAATGTTGGAGGAACTCTAATAATACCCTCTATAAAAGAATTTATTTCAACAGTAATGCATCAGGATATAATTCATTTTTTAGAAACGTTGCCTCTAAGCGATAGCACAGTAAAGTGACGAATTGATGAAATGGCAGTTAATGTTGAAAACAAACTTATAACTATTCCCCAAAACTCTTCATTTTCAATGCAGTTAGATGAATCTAGCATTGCGAATAACCATGCTTTATTGATGGCATATGTACGCTATTTTGATGAGAACAGAAAGAAATGCTATTCGCAATAAATCTCATCGCAGATACAAAAGGATTATCTATATTTAATACTGTAAGACCATACTTTACAAAAAATAATATTCCTTTGAATAATATTATTGCATGTGCTACTGATGGAACACCACCAATGGTAGGTCGCTATCGTGGGTCGCTATTTAAACATAAAATTTAATTCCATAAAAGTTCTGTAATATAGAAAGAAAAGTTTGGTATCGTTTGTAAGATCAGCCAAAAACCCTGCGCATAGTGAAACTCTGCCAACGCCAGTAAAAGAGTAAAAAAAAGATATAAGAGTAAAAGTGACAGTAAATTTTAATTATTTGATATGCTTAATGTTCAACATTTAGAACAGGTAAAATAATATTGATTTCAGTGAATTTAATGTTTATACTTAGTACCTGGAAGAGTTAAAACACCTCTTTATTAAAAAAAATTGTTCGTAATAATGTTTCAATAATACAGTGAAAATGGCAAAAAATTTTGCACGATTGTCGTAAATTAACGATATCTCCGGTAAAATACATTCGATCATGGTGTCCAATGCTTCGAAATTTAAAGAATTAACTGTTCTACAGGATAGAATAGCAAACTTTTTTGTTCATATACAGGGTGATTCATAAGTAATGGGCCAAATTGTAAATGTACGTTCAGGAGGCCAAAATAATAATATTTTCATTAACAATAATGGGTCTTAGTCTGCTCCTTACTGAGATACAGGATGTTAAAGCGAAAAAAATAAAATAGATTTTTGTTAATAGATCAGCTACTTTTCTACATAATGACTCATAGTTGACTTATAGTTTTTGTAAGGGTAAACAATAATGTGTGAGAGGATTTGAGTTAACTCGTAGATGTCGCCACATGCGCCATATGAATTAGATGAAATCAGCTACAAATTTTTTATCGCTCATTATTTTACAACATACTTGTTTAATTTGGATAGCCCCATCATTTCTGTAGAAAAAAGCTATACTTCTTTGATCTTGAAAATATTAACGATTTTCGAGATATTTGAATTTTACTAATTCACTACACTACATTTCACGGTGGTCGACGTAGCATTAATCTGTTAAGACACAAGCATGGCATGGAATGTTGACATTTACCTAACCGTAATTGATAATTGATAACAATATTAAACTGAAACCATAAAAAAATTACGTAATAAAACAATTTATTGTACGCCAGTTAATAAAACGAAATACAACATTAGAACAGACTTGAACTAAGACCACTTACGACAACTGTTATCAAAACCTACATGTTAATGTTGTGCGAAGTTAAATTAAATTTAAGCTTAATTATGAGCTACTGCAAAAGGTTTTCAACATGACCACCACCAGCATTTATACACGCATTTAACCGTTTGGTTAAGGATTGTCTGACTTTAAAAAATGTAGCAGGATTATTTCGTATTGAATTGGCTGCATCTTGAATTCTATTCCATAACTCGTCTCGTGTATTTATAGTAGGTTCAGCATAGACCATTGATTTCATGTAACCCCACACATAAAAATCAAGTGGATTAAAATCGGGACTGCGAGGTGGCCACTGAAATTCACTACCACGTCCAATCCAACGGTGAGGGAATGTTTCATTCAGATGTTCGCGCACAGCACGTGAAAAATGTGGAGGAGCACCGTCTTGCATGAACCACATATTTCTTCTTAGTTGTAATGGAAGATCTCCCAAGAGGTCGACTAAGTCATTATTTAAAAAAATTAAATATGACTCTCCATTTAAATTAGGAGGTAATTCAACTGGGCCCAGTAATGTATTGCCTATTACACCGCACCACACATTTATTTTAAACTCGTGCTGGAAATGTCTATCTTTTTTTAAACGAGGGTTTTCGGTTTCCCAGGCATGACTATTTCGCCAATTAAAAACTCCGCGTCTGGTAAAGGTTGCTTCATCCGTGAAAAGAATGTTATTTAGGAATGTTGGATTATTATTCAATTTTCCTTTTAGCCACTGACAAAATTGAACTCTGATTCGATAATCTGTTGGAAGTAAATTTTGCACAGGTATAAAATGATAGGGATATAAATTTTCCTTGTGTAAAATTCTAGTCACGGATGGTTGGCTTATTCCAGTTGCTGCAGACAATCGACGAGTGCTTATTTCAGAATTTTGCGCAATTCTTACCAAAATTTCATCTTCTTGCTGCGGAGTGATAATCTTAGGACGTCCTGTATGATATTTTGGACGAAATGAACCTGTTTCACCCAATCGATTATAAATATTTTGAAATATCTTCCGGTTTGGCTGCCTTCTGTAAGGGTACATTTCACGATATTTTCTGGATGCTGCTTGCCCAGAAAAACGTTCTTGTGCGTAAACGCATAACATGTCTCTCATTTCTTCGTTTGAAAAGTGATTATGTCTCGGCATTTTGATTTATGTTAGGACAAGAATGAATCAGTTTACTTAACAATAAAATGTTTTAAACTATTCATTAAACGTAAAAGCTCATTGACGTTTCATAATTCATATGGCGCATGTGGCGACATCTACGAGTTAACTCAAATCCTCTCACACATTATTGTTTACCCTTACAAAAACTATAAGTCAACTATGAGTCATTATGTAGAAAAGTAGCTGATCTATTAACAAAAATCTATTTTATTTTTTTCGCTTTAACATCCTGTATCTCAGTAAGGAGCAGACTAAGACCCATTATTGTTAATGAAAATATTATTATTTTGGCCTCCTGAACGTACATTTACAATTTGGCCCATTACTTATGAATCACCCTGTATAATTCTTTTTCGTTACGGTACGATTAAATGTTAAAAAAATGGGAAAAATGCCAAAAAGTTTGATTTTGTTGAGTTGTTTTAGGCTGTAGCAAAATAACGGAGAGTCCGATTTATGCCATCAATACCTCAAAATATTCGTCTGGATCTCTACTTTCATGTCCATATAGCTACAGGAGCACACTATGCAAAATAAAAAATATATTGAACATGAACCGTTACTAAGTTTTTTAATTTAAGATTTTCCACATTTTTGGGTATATCTCAAAAACTGGACCTGATGGAGAAATACTGAAGACAGTTTCAGAATCAGCACAACATTCTACGTTATAAAAAAATATCGCAGTCTTCGAGGAAAAAATTAATTAAAAGTTGTAAACTAGTGTAATTAGAGTGATGAACAAGATCAAATCCAATGCAGAGAACGATAGAATGTTTCTGCAGCTTTGCGACGATAATAATGAAGATTTCATTAAGTTACTTTTACACACAGAAATTCGGTGGCTGTCAAATGGTACATGTATGGCTAGATTTGTAGCACTATATGATAGTGTCATACAATTTTTTGAAAGTAATGATGAGACCAATATGTGTCAACAATTAAAAGCAGTAAAGAACGATGCGTTTTACTTGGCAGATATTTTCGAGAGATTTAACGATATCAATTTGCAACTTCAAGGAGCTAATAAAACTCTTAGGTTGCCAAAGTATTGTGCCATTACTGATTGACAAGCTTCAACTACTTCGTCATAATCTATTGAAGAGACAATTTCATCATTAATCATGTATAAAAGATGATGTAACTCCAGAGGATATAGATATTTTAAAATTGAAGAGACTGATACAATTTGCCAAGAAGAACTGTTAGAAATTAGATATGATGAAGTAAACAAAAATTCGACAGTGGTGAATATGAAAACCTCTGGCAAAATAAAAAAATGCTGGTCTTATATCCAAATATGTGGTAAATGGTATTCATTTATTGATACCTTTCCCTACCTCATATCTTGTGGAAAGAAAAAATCCGCCTGTATATATATTATATTACATTGAGTTACACTGTTCAAGTTTTGAACAGCAGAGTTCAACCTTTTATACTTTATTTGTAAGATTTAAAACGTCCTTAAAAACTTCAACAAACAATGTAAAATTAATTGATAACATAACAATATAATTTAATCTGTAATAAATACTACATGCTTGTTAACATAAATATTTTAAATATTCAATTCAGTGCCTTATTAGTTAGTAGTACATAAAACAACTACTATAAATTGTTATAAATATGTAACAATAAATAAGCGCTAAATAATGAATGCACTTCTTATCACCAACATTTTTTACATTTCAACTCACACATAAACACTCAACATTCTCACTCTAAAAGCAGCATAAATCATTTTTTATTTACCCAAAAAATAAATGTAATTTAACCTCGAATATGATATGAAGATTAAAATTAATCAGTACAATGATAAAATTGCAAATGAAACAAAGGATGTAGTGTTATAAAATCTTTTTCAACAAACAAAGATAATTATAAGAAAAATAAGGTTATCAAAAAGGCATAATGATTCATCAAATTCATTAAACCAAACAATCCATAATGGATTTATAAAAAAAATATTCTAAATGCACAGAAAAAGAAGCACAAAATATTACAACATTTTTATTCAAATACATTTCACTCATTTCTTGCTAAATGCACATAATTGTGTGGATATTATTCCAACAATGCACACAAATTATGATTGTTATCAATGCACAAGCGAATTTTATACATAGCAAAGATAAAGTTCTAAAAACTGAATTAATTAAATAGGGAAATCCACACAGAATTGTTGTAATCATTTGATTTTAAGGATCAACCCCAAATTTGAATACTTTTCCCTATGTAAATTAATCCCAAATATCTTACCTGGTTCTAATGTAGAGACAGCCTCGGGGGTAGGAAAATCGGTGCTGTTGTTGATCTCCATACCCACTGGTTCTCCTATAAAAAGGTGATATTAACTCTAATTTTAAAAAATATGATTCTATTACCTTTAATAGATCCAATTGAGATCAAAACGATGCCAATAATCAAAAGCACAGCCCTCATTTTGGGTGAAATCGGTGAAATATTCGAGAAAACGAGAATCCTGGTGAAGATTTGACAGATCGGAGGAAATTAACCCTTCTTATTCTCGAAATGCGTAGTTACTTACGTAGTGCCAACCTGTGACCGCTAAACTCACCAACGTCAATCGAATTTAATTAACGTTATTAAAACCAATTTAAAGGTGTAAATTGCTTTTTTTTTGTACTAAAAATCGAGTGTTATGTAAATTATTAATAATTTAAAAAAGTTATTTTAAAAATAAATAAGATTCTTAAACAAATTTTTTTTATCAAATTAAAATTGAAACTAAAATATACAATTAATCGAATTGAATTAAATAATTTTATAAAAAAAACTTAATTTTTAGAAAGAATTTAATTATTTATCGATTTTAAAACTTATTAAATAAATAATTAAAACCGCCATCTACCGATTAATAGCCCAATATCATCAAGATCTAACCTCAAATTTGGAATTCTGACATATGACAGTTTGTTGTTTATTTTGACAACCTTAACAAACCCTAAACCGAAAAGCTTTTTACATTTACATAAATCGAAGAACAATGACGGACCACGAAAGAGCCGTTTACGCGAAATTAGAAGCCATAAAAGAGATCAGGTATAACCCACATTTCAGTCATAAAATCGATCTTATTCTTGTTATTTTAGAACTAAAACGATTCAACTTGAGAAGTTAAAAGCTAAGTTAATCTTAGAGATTGAGAGTCAAGATCAGGAGGAGAAATGCCTAGCGGAATACAAACAAGAAATGGAGCTTTTGTTGCAGGAGAAAATGTCTCACGTCGAAGAATTAAGACAAATTCATGCTGATATAAATGCGGTAAGATTGAGATTAATTTTAGTTGTATTAAAATATTTTAAGGAAAAATTCAAGAATCATCATGTGGCTTAAAAATCGACGATATTTATATTTGTAGGTTAGGTCAACACCTATAATTGTTTATTTTATAGCCAGGTGCAAAATCAATTTGATAACCTTAACAGTAATGTTATTTTTGTTATTAATTTAGTGAGTCACACAATTATGATTATATTGTATCTTTATTGACTATTAACTCTACAATTCTTTTACATTGAGTACACACACAAGTTGCTTTTATGCAACTTATCCTACATCTTTATGACACCTCCTCTATCATTTGTAATTGTAGGTACAATAGCATTTTCTACATTATCACCTAACTTATTATTATTATTAGAATTAATGTTTTTTGGAAGAGAAAGAGAAATCATACTCTCTTCTATATTTGTAGGTAGCTGTCTGTCAGTTACTGATTTTCTCAAGTCTTGACTATTTCTTCTTAGTACATTCAGTCCTGTGTTTATTAAGTATGAACTTGGACTTTCATGTTTACGCATAACTAAAGACCCTAGATTATCAAAGTACAGCGTTCATGAAGCCTGTATATTCGAGTCAAAATGGCAGTTTGACAGCTTGTCACCACTTATTTACAAAAAGTGCGCGTGTAATAATGCCGTCTTGTTGTATTTGGAGTTGCAAAAATAGTTGTAAGAAGGGCTTTCGACTCTTGAGAGTACCACGAGAAAAAGAAAAATTTTATCAACAGAGCGACACCAGCGAGACGATAGCAACAAACCGCTCAGCAACAAATTTTTTTCCTCATATTTCCACCTATTTCTCGGGCCCATATCTTCGTTATCTAGAAAGATAGCGAAAAATTAAGCACTCGGTTGGAAAGCTTGGTCTTTTCTCTATCTTAAACCGATATGTTGATAATGAAAGCAAAAAATAAATAACAAACGTTGCACTGCATTCAAATTACCTCAAAATTACCAATCTTCACGGCCTTGTGCAAAATTAGATGGTTATACAAGGTAAAGTTTGCTGCTTTAACTGTAGGCTCTTCTTCAGGAGCGTTTTTTTTTTACAGACGCCGGCATATATTGACAGACGAAAACTCGAAATATGTAAACCATTTGTTGAATTTCCTTCTGATAACGGCTACACAAGGCCTTAAAGTGGGGCAATTTTGAGGTGATTTAAATGTAGTGTGTCGTTTCTTATTTTTTTCTGCTCTTATTATCAACATATCGGCAGACGAAAACACGGTTTAAGATATAGAAAAGACCAAACTTTCCAACCGTGTTCTTAGTTTTTCGCTATCATTCTAGATAACAAAAATATTGGCCCGAAAAGTAGACGGAAATACAAGGAAAAAGCTTGTTGCTGGGCTGAAAAACGATTGTGCAAACGTGTGATTGAGATGTATTATTTCCCGTTGAAAAGAGCAGAAAATTTCCCATAAGATGAATATAGTTCTAGAGTTTTCTCCCCATCAGATAAGAGAGTTATTGACCCAAGCGTGGTTTAGCCGCGGCAAAAATTCGTTTAGGTACTTCTCAGTTAGAAAAAAGGATTATGCAAACGTGTGATCACGGTGTGTCACACACCGTTGGAACGAGCAGGAAATTTCCCATAAGCTGAATATAGTTGTAGAATTTTCTCCCTGTCAAATAGGAAATTGCAAGAAATATTTGCGTGTTTTCATCGGTAGGGGTTCCAAACTATTCGATCTTGGGTATTTCGTGTTGCTGGTTTTAAATTCAAAATCATGTTCTTTTCCGAATTTCCTATATTCAAAGGACGAGTAGGGCATGTTATCCGACACACCATGAGTTGCAAACACAAAGTTCGGTTGCAAACACACCGAACTTTGTTTTGAATTGAGAGGTATAATTTCTAAACACTTTGTTAGATAATCAACCATAACTAAATACGACTTATTACCATATGAAGTATGTCAGATCCAATCTTTTGAAAAGGCAAGTTTGGGATTTCAATAATTTGTTTAATGTCACTAGCCATACCAGGTCAAAATAAGACTTTACGAGCTCTCGCAGTCGATCTGTTTGTACCAAAATGTCCTTCATGTAGAATTTTTAACATTTCCTGTCTTAATGATTTAGGTACGACCACTCTATATTCTATATTTGAAAATATACTTTCACTTCACCATCATAACTTTTATTCCACCCATGGTAATAATTTCTGATCACTTCCTTTAAAATATCATCCTTCATTGTTTCATGTCTAAATTCGATTTTTCTCGATTCGCTCATTCTTATATATCTTTCAACTCTAGATGCACAAGCCACCGGCTTGTCATCCTGCATCAAGCAACAACCGTTTTGAGATGCATCTGTTTAAATAACAATATATTTCTTGTCATCAAAGTTCATTAAAGTAGTGTTTTTATTAATCTCAGCTTTAATTTTTTGTAATGCCTTATCATGTATATGCAATAATTGGTATTTTAAGTAATTAACATAATGAACTAGCTATTTCTACTAATCTGGGAATAAATTTTCTTAGATAATTGATTAAACCTAACAGCTTTTGCTACTCTTTTATAGAATTAAGTGGTTTTAAATCATTTATAGCGTTCACTTTTTCACTGTCTAGTCTCATTCCCTATGCACTGAAAATATGTCCCATGTATTTTACACAACTTTTTCTAAATTGGTCTTTTTCTTTAATGAATTTTACGTCTTTTTCTCTTGCCCTTTGAATCACCTTTCTTAAAGTTTCATCATGTTCTTGTAACGTATTTCTTGCAAGTGTAAGACTAGAACTGACACTATACCTAGAACTAGAATCATTCGGGTTTAGCCGTCTTTAGAGACGTGCGGCTAAACCCAAATCATTCTAGTTCTAGGTATATTGTTAGTTCTACATAGTAACAGTGCTGGTGTAAAACTAGAATTAACACTAGACCTAGAACTAAAAAATATCGTTTTTAGACGTGCGTTTTCAGACCTAACCTGGAGTTTACAACCCACCCTCTGCTCCATGCCCAACCCAACATTTGAGAAATTTGCACTGGTTTGAATGTTATTTAACTTAACTCAAAGTGGAATTTCTGCACAAAATTCTGAAATAAATCAGTAAATTAGATGGATCCGAAAGTAACGTTTAAAGGCCCTACCCCCCTCTAAAAAGATATGTGGCATCTGGATGACAAAGAATCGAGTGTTGTAGCAGCAACTTTTAAATCTATAATGGAAGGGACACAGAAAGATATCACTCAACAGAAGAATAGTTTCAGTAAATAGTCTTCAGCCAGTAGTATAGTAATCTCCAAGCACTTAGTAGTGTTTTGGCTGCAATATACAGGGTGAATTATTAGTATCCCGGCGGACGATAGTTGCTAAACCGTTTTAGAAAGAAAAAATGTTTTATACAAAAGTTATTTGACTCACCACTTTTTATTACCTAAAATTATTTTCACTTATACAGGATGTTCCATTTAGACGTAACGGAAAGTATGTAAATTTTTTTTAATGGAACACTCTGTATATTTTATCATATTATGAATAGAATTAAATTTGTTTATACAACCGTATATGTTACTAACTTATAGCGTTCATAGTTGCTGAGATATTCAATTTTTTTTCCAAAATGCAGGATCTTTTTAAAAACGATGTAAAAACGACACTTTATCCAATTTTGCCTTGAAACTATGTCAGATAATAGTCAAAGCCAGTAAATAAATGATAGTATCCAAAGATATTAGATACGCTACACAGGGTGTTTATAAAGCTTAGTTACTTTTGATGTTTTTCAAATGGCTTTTTCATAAACTTTTTAAATGGAACAGCCTGTATATTGTGTGCTGGTTGAATTGCCCATCAAGTTACCTTTAATTAATGATAAGAATGTCATATATCTAACTTTAGTACTTTTCCTAATATTGAGAATTTAAAGAAAAATGTGTAATAAAATGTCATTATTGTACTTAAAAAAGTGAGAGAATGTAATATATTCTGTCCTTTTTTTTGTTTTTCCTTTATCTGTCATTTGTAAATCAGTAATATTATATTAAAATATAATTAAAAAAAACTTTAATAGGATAAATAATCAAAACGTGATAAAAATACAATTAAATGGCAGAACAATAAATCCCCTTTTTAATTACTAAATTATTTGAAGGAAATGCAGCAACAAACTATAAACAATTACTAAACGTTGCTCAACAACTAGGTATTAATTTAATTAATATTTGGAAGTTGTTCAAAATGCCGCCCATTTTCTCTTCTACAAGCATTCAGACTTAACATGTACATCTTATTTTCGCTAAAGGCGTAAGTTATATGGCAGAACAATTGCATATTTTATTACATCTTTTTAAGTGCTTCATAAAGTGCCAAGTTGAATTAAGATCTGGTATATGGCAGCAAAATTATTTTACATCATAAAATATTAATCAAATAATAAAAGGAAGAACAAGAAAACTGATAATAATAGACAGAATATAATATTAAGTACAATAACGCATATTTTATTACAATATCTAGCTTTCTCCAAGCAATTAGTAGTCTTTCCAACAATATTTAGCATTCTGAAGGTAGTTAATGGTTTTTTGGAAACAGTATCTTGTCTTTCCAAGCAGATAATAGTTTCTCCCAGCAGTATCTCGTCTTTCCAATCAGTTTGTAGTTGTTTGTTAGCACTATCTATTCTTTTCCAAGCAGATTGTAATCTTTTCCACCAGTATCTAGCTTTTTTTTAAGTAGTAGGTACTTTTTTGGAGAGCATCTCTCGTTTTCAAGTAGTTATTAGTCTTTTTCAGTAGTGTTCAGCATTCTGAAAGCATTAGGTAGCTTTTTGGGAAGCATATCTCTTCTTTCTAGGCAGTTAGTAGTCTTTTCCAGCAATATCTAACATTCTGGAAGCAGTAGGTAGCTTTTTGGAAAACATATCTCTTTTCCAAACAATTATTAAAGTCTTTGAAAGTAATAAGTAGTCTTGGAAGCAGTCCAAGTAGGTCAAAACCTTTAACAGCAGTGTGCAGCATCCTGAAAGCAATAGGTATTATTTTGAAAACAGTATCTAGTCTTTTCCAAGTAAGTTGTAGTCTTTTTCCGCAGTATCTAGCATTTTAGAAGTAGTAGGTAACTTTTTAAAATAACATTTCCTCTTTGCAAGCAGTTTTTAAGCGACATGATGATTCTTAGACTACACCGATTTTAATGTGATTTATTTAGATGGAGGGGGTAATTAAACAAGCTGAGGAAGGCCGAACTCGTTCTATTTCAACATCGGCTCGATTACACGAAGAGTATCTTCCGTTAAAGCTTGAAATCGATCGTTTGAGACGCGAATGTCTCGGATTAGAACGTTTGCCCGAGTTACATGAGGAAGATGGGACTAATATAACTCCGGAGTAAATTTTGTTAAATTTAATTGATTAAATTTGATTTTAATTGAATTTTAGGCGCTACAGCCAACTTTTTGCTTCAACGAAATCGTCGACTTCAACTTTTCCGAAAGGAACTGATTGGACAAGACCTTTACCGGCTACGGAAACTTCTTTATCTTCGTTAGCTCCGCCGTTACCACCGAGTTTTTTAGCCCCGCCGAATCCGTTGCGGTTAGTTTCTAATAAATCGGAACAATCAAGACCGAGCCCTTTGGCAACTGGTTCGCATGGTGGCCCTCCTACTCCATCGTTCAGGTCGGATTTTATGACTATGAGGTGCTTTATTTGATTTAAGCTTGTAAATTGAACTTATGTTTGGGTTTTTATCTTTTTAGGCAACAACCGCCGCCGATGAAATCTTGTTTGAGTTGTCATCAACAGATTCATCGAAACGCTCCAATTTGTCCTCTTTGTAAGGCTAAAAGTAGGTCGAGGAATCCAAAGAAACCCAAGAAGAAAGATCATTAATTCAATTATTAAGTAATTATTATGATTAAGAAAAAATTAATCAAATTTTAGGTTCAATGTGAAGTTTGAGATTGTGTTTATGTTGGGTTTTTGATTCTTTTTAATTTCTTGAGTATAATATTATATTGTCTTGTAATGTGTCTTGATTAGGTGTACTTTATGTGGTTTATAAGCAAAACAGTTTTGGTGTATCAAATAAAAAGTGTTCAAAAAATACCTTAGTTTTATTGAGTATTGATGAAATTTTGATACTCTTTATGGCTTAAGAAGTGTTTTTGTGTTGATGACCCCAAAAATTGTTTAATATTTAATTTATTTCTCAAAATCCAAAAGATTTTTTAAAACGACTTTGTGTGTGTTGAAAAATAGACATCTTTATTAACAAATTGTGAAATTTAGACATTAATCTTCCCCCACCAATATTAACTTAAAGTTTAAGTAGAACTGAATCTTAATTTGGAACAAATGTACAGAGAAGCATCAAATATGCTTACCAAAAATAATTTGTCCTGGTCCACTTATGAAAATAAGCAAACCAGAAACCTGAAAGTGGTAGCTAAAAAGATGCATAAAAGCTGTGATGTTAATGATATCAAAGGTGCACTATTGGAGCGCAATTACAACATTCGTAAAGAAACCTAAAGTTAAAATACAAAACAAAAGAGCCTCTTCCTTTATACATCTTGGATTTTGCACCGTCAGAAGATGTAAAAAGAATCCATGAAATAACCAACATATTAGGAATGCGTGTCAAAATCGAAGAGTACAGAAAGCCAAAACAAATGCTTCAGTGCAAAATGTATTAAGGTTGGAGCCACACCGAATGCACTAAAGCCAAATAAATCCAGGCTAAATGTTTCAACAGTGGAGAAAATCATCCAGAAACTACCGAGGATGCATTGTGATTAAGGAACTACAAGCCATCAGGAATATGAAAGCAGTAAATTCAAATAAAAGAAAGCTGAGCGTCTCGTATGCCAAAAATGCGAGTGGTGAAACTAAGTACATGAGTCGATAAAGAGACTGACAGTAAATTAGATCTAATACTACAAAAAATACTTCAACAAGAAGAAACACAATAAATACAGTATTAGAAAAAAGTAGAGCAACTTTTAATTTTTGTAAATTAAATTTTAAATTAATGCTTTTCCTTAAGGTTCACAGTACTATGGTAGTGTATATTGTATGGAATTTATGCAGTGAAGATTTCACAAACCTAGCCTTATTTTATTAGAAATAAAATTATAAAACTTGGGTTGGAAAAAAGTAAAACAACTTTGCTAAGAAATACAAACATATGGCAAATAAGAACGAGTTTTTGATAAGATACATTCGATAAGACCAGTCTTAAACATACCTCGTGATGTAGCTGTTTGTAAAACTGTGAAAGAAATGGTTATTAATGATTTTAAAAACCATATTATACAATGTGATATCGCTCGCAAATTCTTTTTACACAAATGTGTAGTATAGCGAATTATTAAACAATATCGTGAGACGGAACTTGTAGACTTGAAGAAGAAGTCTGGACGTTCCAGAAAAACCAATGGATGCCTTGATAGAATAATTTGCATTCAAAAATCAACCAAGTACTTACATCATATTACAGACGTCATAGAGATGGCACTATCAAGTAATGTTTGTTCTGAACTGTTCCTAGATTTTATTCTTCAGTCAAAATTAAGGCTGAGGAATTACAGGGTTTTCCAATAAGAGGTGTTATTTTGATATTCAAAGAAAAATGCCATTTTTTAGTATAAATGATCGGATGTTTATTTCATTATAAAGAAGAAGGTATGCCGTTAATAGTGGAAAATAACATTAGGCAAATGACCACCACGACCACGCTTACAGGACAATATCCTTTCCATGAAATTTTCCATAACCAAATTGCAAAGTGGCTGCCCTATGTCCTCAATAGCCTCACGAATTTCATCTTTGAGGTCTTGAATCGACGCTGGGCTGTTGGCGTACACCTTCTCTTTCACGTGGCCCCAAAGGAAGAAGTCGCAAGGTGTTAAATCACAAGATCTCGGTGGCCAATTGTGATCACCTCTTCGAGAGATAACACGGTCCGGAAACTTTTCCCGTAAAAGATCAATGGTTTCGTTGCTTGTGTGGCACGTGTAGCACCGTCTTGTTGAAAGTAAACGTTGTCCACATCAATACCATCCAATTCCGGCCATAAAAAATCATTAATCATCTCTCGATAGCGCAATCCATTCACCGTAACTGTTGCTCCAGCCTCATTTTCGAAAAAGTAAGGTCCAATGACTCCGCCGGACCATAAACCGCACCAAACAGTCACACGTTGAGGATAGAGAGGCTTTTCAACAATAACTCTTGGGTTTTCCGAGCCCCAGATGCGACAATTTTGCTTGTTGACGAAGCCACCGAGGTGGAAATGGGCCTCATCACTCAAGATGATTTTTCGATGGAATTCCGGATCATTTTCATGCATTTCAACGACCCAATCAGCAAAGACACGACGTTGTTGATGATCGGACGGCTTGAGTTCTTGTGTTAACTGAAGTTTATAAGCCTTAAGACCCAAATCTTTATGCAAAATACG